GGCATTCGCCACATTTTCACAGCCCCATTTCACCCTGCGAGTAATGGGTTGGCTGAAAGGGCCGTCAGGACCACCAAAGAGGCCCTCGCTAGGTTTGGCAGAGATGACTGGCACCACAAACTCTCACGGTTCCTGATGAGCCAGCACTCAACCCCCTGTGCAGTCACCAATAAGTCCCCAGCGGAACTTCTGATGGGCCGGCGCCTGAGGACTGTATTAGATAGACTGCACCCACAATACTGCCCTGAGTCTCCCCTCGCTTCCACTTCGGGGGTTAGACATTTTATGTTACAGGAGCCGATATTCGCAAGGAATTTCGCTGGGGACCCACTTTGGATTCCGGGCGAGGTCATCGCCGTCACCGGGCCGAGATCATATAGAGTCAGGCTGGAGGATGGTCGCGTCTGGAGGAGATACATAGACCAACTCAGAAGGCGCCTCAGCAACCTCGCAAACAAGAATCCAGAGTCTCCAGTCGAAGGGGAACCGTCCCATCCGCCACCCAGCCACATCGCACCCAGTGACCAGTCTGCGCCAGCGGTCGTTCCAGTCAGCCCAAACTCGGACAACAGCGCCCAGAGAGTTGATCAACCGGATCCAACCCACGAGAGTTTGACTCCAGAAACCAACCCGGTGGTTTCCGAGGATGCCCAGTCCAGAGAGAGTGTTGGCGACACTATGCCAGCTCAACCGTCACAGACTGATACCGAACAGTCAGACAATGTTCCCGAGTTGTGCCGCTCCGGGCGCCAACACAAACCCCCCATCTACCTCAAGGACTATGTGTGTTCGCATCTGGGGGGAAGGGGTGTTATGTCCTGAGGACTCAAGGAGTTCTCACTCAGGTCCACACACTTTGTGTGGGCGTTATTCCCCCATTCCCATTGGTCGGTTCTCCCCAGCAGCCAGCTATAAAAGCAGGCTGCGGGGTCCAACTGGCTGCTGATTGCTGCGAGCCAGTTCCAGGCTTGGCAAGCACGGTCAGCCCTTTATTTGTAAAATAAAGTACTGTTGCACTCATGCTCTGGTTCAGCCTCTCATTGCTCAAACTTAACAGGACTGTTATTGCTTATTTGACTGTGTTGCCTTAATGCCACGCCCTGGGTCATCACAAGACCCTTGTCATAAGTCAAGGACTACTGTTTGGTGGCTAAGGTTACTCAAATATGCTTGGAGATGGACTGTGGCTGGGAGGTCCAAGTTATCTGGATGAATTCAGTCCTGTGACACCTGAGGATGTGGACAAAATCCTTCCATATATGAGTCCACTCACCTGTCGAGCAACCAGGGCTTGGGTCCATGCAGTGGTATCAGCACATTTGAAGGAACACGCTTCTTTCTGCCTTTGAAGAGGAAGTCATGTGCCTCTTCCTCAAGAGAAGTTTTGTTTTTGCATTTTGCAAATACAATAAAAACAGAATAAGAACACAAAGAGAGGCTATTACTAGACAATATTGCACCCCCCCCGCCCCATTATGAATAACTATTGGCCAGTTTCCAATCTTCCCTGTTTGGAACAGATGGTTGGAGAAGATGGTTGGCTAGAAGTTGCAGAGGATCTTGGAGGAAACAGGTTGTCCTGACCTATTACTGTTAAATAGGTTTGCAGTGGTTGAGTTTGTTAATGAGGTTTGGTGGAACTGAGATGGGGGCGGTGCATTCATCCTTGTGTGCTTTCCTCTCTCTGTGGTTTTCAATCCCATTGACCATGGTGTTCGTATGGACTGGCTGGGGTGGAGGGGAGATTGGCCCCTCACTTTGCAGGCTGGCTCAGGGTTCCATGCTTTTCCCCCCGCTGCTTAGCACCCAGCGGAACTGCTGGATGAGGTATAATCTGTCATTATGCTAACGATATCCACAGGGGTAGGATTCAAAAATCCCAGCAACCAGTTCACTGCCCAGTCGCTGGGTGGGTGGAGCCATGGTGGGCAAGGCCGACCAGAACTTCCTATTTTCAGTTTCTGGAGGGCCTCCAGGGCCGTTTTCACCCTCCCAAGGGTTCAGAGGCCTCCCTGGGGCCCCTGGGAGGGCAAAAACAGTCTCCCCCGGGCTATGGAGGCCCTCCGGAAGCTGGAAACAGGCTTGTTTCCGGACTTCCAGAAGGCCCATTTTTTCCCCTCCCAGAGCTTCTGCGCAGACCCTGCACTTACCTCCATTGAACATGAGCCATGTGGAGACTCCTGAGAGGGGCGGGGTGGGAGGGAAGGGGCCGCTCAGTCAGTTGAAATGCCGGTTCACCAAACCAGGTGTAACTTTAACACCTGGTTAGCCCGAACTGGTAGAATCCCACCCCTGGATTCATTACAACCCTGAATTGGGCAGGTGAGACTGTTGATGTACTGACTTCATATCTGGAGGCTGGTTGGGATGGGGTAGAACTGTCATGGGTCTGCCCCTGGATCCCTGTTCTGACCCAGCTCCCAAACACGACAACATTAACTCAAAGATTCGTTTATTGGGCATGCCAGCAGCCCTGGCAAAAAGTTTCTCTCTCAATGCCGACTAACAGGTCCATCCAGTCAGAAGATGAATAGTTGCCTGCCACCCCTATTCATCTCCACCCCCTGCCTTTTGTCCCCAGAGCTAGGGTGGGGCTTTGCTAGCAGCGGTGGCTCTTCCGTCCCAAGGACCGGCCCATAGATTTCCACTGCTCTCCTCCCCTCTGCCATCTGTGCATCTGCGTGTCAGGCACTGGACCCAGCTGTTCCTCCTCTTCCTCATCAGCCCGCTCCAGACCTGGGGGCTGTTGACTCTCTGTCTGAGGGCTGACGGATGGCCCAGGCCCAGGCCCAGGCCCAGGCTCTGCCTCTCCTTCTTCCAGCTCCATGCCCTCTTCCCCCGCGAAGCACCCAGGTTGCCCTGATATTGACCGTGACTCCCATGCCTCCTCCTCCTCCTCTGATTTGACTGCTGGAGGGGCTGCTGGCTGACAGGCCACAACAATGCCTCTTCAGGTGCAGGTTCAAAGGAGGAGGGCATTTGAGTTGGCAGAGGAAAATGAGGAGCCAAGTGCTGGTCAGGATCGGGGTTTGGAGAGGGCTACCCTGAGGAAGCAGCCTCATCTGAGTCATTGGACGAGTGACAGGCTAAGGCTGAGGCTGAGGGAGGTGAGCAGCAGCTGCAGCAAATCAGCTAGGAGGCTCCAGGTAAGGACCAGGAGCAACTGCTACCCATTAGCAGCGAGGAGGTGGAGTTTACACCTCCTCCTGATCCAAGGACAGGTAGAGCAGAGAGGAGACAGGCACACTGTTGGTCAGCTAGGCTACTCATGAGGAGGCAACCTTGTGTCAGCTCTGAGACAGGAGCTGCCAGAGCTGTTCCTAATAAATCAGTTGGAGATTATACTTGTCTTGGAGTGATTGATTACCATGGACAATTCTGGACGCCTAACACCTTGCCTCTCATGAAGGATTGCACTGCCGTCTCCTACTTAACCCTCCCCTGAGGACTTGAGTATTCCTGGAGCAATGGGCTCAGTTCTGTGCCTTGTGTGCTCATGCCACATATCCTGACCTGTTTGACTTGTGGATTGCTTTCCTGGACTTTGTGTGCGCCAGTGACTCTTGCTGTGCTGAGCTCAGAGTCCAGACCTGTTCAACAGGTGTGCTTTTGGAATATCTGTTTGGGGGTTTGAATAAACACAGGTAGACTTTTGCTGTATGTACGTGTGTGGGGGTGAACAGGGCAGCACAAGAACAGACTTTGGGTCAATCCTGAGTGGCAGTGGCTATTTTGCCCTCTGGGCTGGGAACATCTCCATTGCTGACCTTGAAGGCCAACTGTGGGCAGGCAGGTATTTGTACAGGTTCCTCTGGTGTCATAATCGTGCCATTTCCTTCACCAGGAAACCTTTCAGATAGTCACTCAGGCCCTGATCACCTCAAGGTTGGATTACAGTAATATGCCCTAGGTGGGGCTGGCCTTCAAAACTATCCAGAAGCTGCAGCGGGTACAAAACTCAGTGTTACGAATCACTACTGCTATGTGAGCTGCAGAGCTTGCCAGTTGGCTTCTGGGTGCAGTTCAAGCTGTTATTACCTATCAATATTTTCATGGCCTAGAGCAAGGGTGTCAAACTCAAGGCCTGTGGGACATATCTGGCCCGCAGGGCCATCCTGGTCTACCCGATGTGAAGAGGAAAGATTAGGCCAATGTAGCTTCGGCCTGGTCTACCCAATGCGAAGAGGGAACATGCCAGCAGTTAAGGGAAGGGTGTCAAGCTGGCCACGCCCACTGAATCACCACCCCCACCTGGCCCTCCAAGGTCAACCACAACCTTGATGCGGCCCTCAATGCAATTGAGTTTGACACCCTTGGTCTAGAGCCCACTTAGCTGAGGGACTGCCTGTCTCCAATGGTTTCAGCCTACTTGGTATATCTGGGCTCCAGGTCTCTTCAACTCAGGGCTGCCATCTTGTCCTCTGAAGCGTTTCTTTGTCAGTCCCCCACCCACCCACCCACCCAGGAATAGCATCTCCCAGAGATATTGCCGGGATGATATCCATCTCTTTGGCTTCTGGAGAGCCTTTAAGACTTGGCTCTGTTCCCCAGGCGTGAGTTTAATGTGCGTGTTATATATGATGGGGACCCTGTTATATTTTTGTGTTGCTTTATAGCCGTTTTGGTCAGGGCTGCCCCTTTCTGTAGGTTTTAACTGTTTAACAGTTTGGGAGTTTTGCAAGCCTTCCAGAGTTTTCACCACAAATATAAGGATTCAATTAAATTAAAATGTGCCTAACCATTATGGTGCCAAAGTGACGAAGTGTGCCCATTCCTCTGAATTTGTTTTGTGATGTCCCAGGCCAAACAGAAAGGGTGAAGCTTGGATGGTGACATTGTGAGACCTACTTTATCAGCCTTGCCAACCTCACAGAGACACCCATGTGAGAACTGGAGATTGCTGGGAATATGAAAGACAGAGCAACTAATTTAACCTTCTGGTGCAATGAAGCTCATTCATGGAGCTTATGTATTAGTATAAATGTCTGTTCCACAAAATTGCATAGGAGGAGCCCCACAAGGTTGCAACCAACAGGTCACCTCCACTTAATAAAGGTCTTCAAAGGGCTTTGAGTAATTAAACATTAAATAATCCATATAATAGAAATCATAACTACTCTGCCTTTGAGAAGGAGAAAGCTGTGTAAAATATTGTTGTGTGATCTGAGAGGTTGTCCTCTCTTCATTGGAATGTCTATCTTTAAACCTAGGGAAAGTTAAGTTCTGGGGAGCATTTATCAAATGGAGGAAAAAATTAGCGTCTTCTTCCATGGTTTCAAACTTCCCAATGAAGTCATAGTCTACTAAGCACGGACTACAGAGCCTGTTGATGTGATCCCAGTGGATGTCCATGCCGACCGGCCGATGCACATCGAGAAGATACTGAATGAACTCTTTGAACTCTACCCCAGAGCCTGTCCTCAGAGCCTCCTTGGTGGCATTGGGGCGATACTTGGAAATAATGGGCCTGCCAAAGACGGGGTGGTAATAATTGTTTGGATGCTCAAACTTGTCTCGAAATGCCGACACTAACTTCTCAAAAGGTTCCCGGACAAAGAGCATCTTCGTGTAAGTACTGAGCCTGTAGTTGATCCCTTTGTGATCAAAACTGTCCAGCTTCTTCAGATAATTCCCGTAATGCACGGTATTGTGCTGAATAACCCTGGTTGAGGAGGCCAGTCCGTTCAGAACCATGAGCACTCTCTTCCAGTTGGAGCAGCCAGCTTTAGGGACTTCACAATATAAAATTCGATATTTATCTTCCACAAATATCCTGGACACATGATAAGGGGTGATGACTCTTTTGTTGTTGCTCTTGTACTTGGCGCAAGTCTCCCTCATGATGCGTTTCCTCTCTCGTTGGACCTCATAGAGGCGTCTCCACCTCAGCTCGTCCTTCCCCTCAGCTTTCAGGACGGGCAGGCCGAGGAAGGAGCCGTTCACTGCAATCCGGAGGGGGCCTCTTTTCAGGACAAATCTCCTCCTTCGTTGATAGGCCCTGGCAGAGTTAGCAGCTGAACTTTTCCGCTGTCGGTCTCGAATCCCCACTGAAGCCTTCCGGGCACGGCCTGAGCTGCTTCGCTGCTTCACAGACTCATCTTGCATGGGGTGTAACGAGGCCCCCTGGTTTCCCACCAGAAAGATATAGCCTCCGTGGCCCTGCGTTTTCCCGCCCTGGTCGTTGCTCGAAGCACCTTCCTAATGGAAGAAGAGAACCAAGGCATTACTCAATGAAGACAGCATTCATCACAGCTGGCAGAGTTTAATGATGCCAGTCCTATCTACCTTTCTAGTTGAGCCAAACTTCATCACGCGGTGCACTGGCTTTACACACCACCCTGAGGCTGCGGTGCTGGGTTTTTTTTTTTTACTTCCTACTTTTGAATGTGTCGCTATTAATCTGAACATCAATTCTAGAGATAAACCCGAGGACCCTGGCAAGGAAACAGGTTTAATATTTTCAAAGCTTAGCATCTATGAAGATTCTCAGTCACCCAGCTCACAGAAGTGGTTTTTATTTTTGAAAAGAGGCCATTTGTGTTAACACTGAGCAGCCCTCTCCTAACAGTGCGGGAGGGATAAGACCACCACCTATCCCCAATTTACAACGGAGTCCTTTTGGCTGTTCCAAGAAGATCCCACAGCTCTGATTCAGGTGATCCTGAGGTCACAGATAAATCCCCCAGTAACCACAAATGGCTCCCAGAGAGCATTGACTGAATAGAAAACATATTTTTTCCTATCATTCCCCCTCCCATCAACTAATCTCAACTGTCAATAACAGTCCTTCCATCTCCCATCTCCCATCGCCCTTTATATATCCGATGAAGCTTCTGGGATAGGAAGCAAAAAAAATCCTCAAAAAAAAAATCGGTCCAGTTGCCTTTTCAAAAATAAAAACCACTTTTGTTTCAAAGCTTAGATGCAAATAGAGGGACGTTTTCCTTTCGGGAAGACTTCCGACAGCAGTTTCCAGGATGTTTTCAGGGGGAGAGCAAATGCCGGAAGATGGCAGCCGTGGCCCTGCTTTAAAGACCCGCCCCCTTTGTATGTCTGGCAGAAGGGGTGGGGCTTAATCACCTTGCCACCTGGCCCACCTGGAGACGTTGTTTTCCTCTACACACAGATGCCCACACTTTCAAGGTTGAACATTGAGGGACATGTAGAAGTGAAGATAACAGTTCTATCTATACTGCAAAGTTCTCACTTTTCCGCTAAATTAGAATGATTCCCAGCTGATGGACCCACTGACGCCATCAAGTCCAGCCCTTTGCTCAGTGCAACAATCCCATTAAACGTATCAGTCAAATGGCTGTCCAACTTCTGGGTGAGCACATTCAGCAGGAAAGGGGAGCTCAGGTTCTTTCTGGGCCAGCGGTTCCTCTGTTGCTAGGAAAACGGGTTTTTTCCTAACATGTTAATACAGGTCGTCCTGGACTTACGACCACAACTGAGCCAAAAAATTTCTGTTGTTAAGTGAAACAACACAAATGCTGGGCTCAATTTAGTTAAGTGAAACAATTATTCAGTGCATTTTGTCCCATTTGATGACCTTTCTCATCACATTTGTTTAAGTGAATCCCTGCAATTGCTAAGTTAGTAACCTGGTTGTTAAGTGAATCTGGCTTCCCCGTTGAATTTGCTGGTCAGAAGTTTGCAAAAGGGGATTACAGGACCCCAGGGCATGCAGTGGTCATAAACATGAGTCAGTTGCCTAGAGTCTGGATTTGGGTGAAATGATCCTGGAGTTGTTACAAAGGTCAAAAAGTGTGAAAAATGGTCATACGCCACTTTTTTTTGGTGCCGTTGCAACTTTGAACAGTCACTAAATGAACCATTGTAAGTTGAGGACTTATCTGTATGTTTCTGCACCTTGCTCACTGAAACATTAGAGAACACATCTTTGAGGTTCTGTGGCATCACCCTCCAGGTGTCTGGCCTTTGGGATTCCCAGATAAACACTGGATGTAACATCATTCTAGTACAGGGGTCTCCAACCTTCACAGCTTTAAGGCTTGTGGACTTCAATTCCCAGAATTCCTCAACCAGCAAAGCTGAACCTGTGCAATGGGCGCGTTCTCTGAATACCTTTTTTTGGGGTGGGTGGGTGTATAATTCTTGCTGTGTGAATGTATGCATGTGTATCTTTGTGTGTGTGAGTGAAAGGAGTGGGGCAGCACATTGTGAGGAGAGGAACTCATAGGGATATATACAGGGTAGTGGGACAACTTGCCACAGCCAACTCACCACAGCCAACTCATCACAGGCAACTTGCCATGGGACAACTTAGTGCGGGACAATGTAGCAACTCTATTTATTTAAAATAAATAAAAAAATATTTACATTTTTGCCATTTTATTCTGTCATTTCTTTTTGCACCCTTTCTTTAATGATTCTATTCCACCATTTCTTTGATGTTAGTATAACTCTTGTCCTGCAGCGAGTTGTCCTGTGGCGGAATAGCCATGGTGAGTTGTCCTGCAGCAAATTGGCCATGGTGAGTTGGCTGTGGTGAATTGTCATAGGCCCCTCTACAGGGCACGTCAAGATACCTTGATTGTGTGATTGAACTGCTAGCACTTTTCTCTATGTGTTGCACGGATGATTTGATTGTACGGCCAGAGCTGCTAGCTTGATTTTCTTCATCGTTCTCCGTCCTTTCCCTCCCCAGGACTGCCCTATGAACATCTGTAGTTGCTCTGGACAGCCTGGTCAAAACTCTGTCCAGTCTCTGTTAATTAAAGAATGGGTGTGTTTGCATAACACATTTGCACAGCCTAAAATGGGATAATTTGTAGGTGAGAATGTTGTGAGAAACAAGCAACTGACTTTGCAGAGTTTGCAATTGAGAGAATCACATCAAGTTGCCACAAGGGTCCTTTGCCTGGTTATGATGTTCTTGGTTATCTTGGTTTCTGTTCTTGGTTTACCATAGAATTAGTGCCACAAGCAGTGAGTCAAGCTACTCACTAATGAACAAAAAAGATTTATTTAGTTATTGGATTTACATGGTTGCATAATTCACAAAAATGCAACTCTGTGGCATCCAGCAACAAAAACTGAGTATAACCATTTCCATTTCTTTCAGACATAAGTTTGAATTATGGTATGTCAAGATCATTTCTGAATTGATCCGTTGTGTGAATAAGGCAAACTGCTGTAATATGTGCCAACTTGAGGATACTTTTAGACTAAAACGTGTATATATTTTGATACAGCTTTCTCCTGCCATAATTTATTTTTCCTTCCAATTTAAAACTTAACAAGGCTATATGCATTTCTGTTCATAGTTTTCACGTGTGTGCTTGTGTATGCTTATACATATATCCACACTTGGAATATGCATCCAATGTTGGTCACCACAATATAAAAAAGATGTTGAGACCCTGGAAAATGTGCAGAAAAGACCAACAAAGATGATTAGGGGGCTGGAGGCTGAAACTTACAAAGGACGGCTGCAGGAATTGGCTATGTCTGGTTTGATGAAAAGAAGGACTAGGGCCGACATGATAGCAGTGTTCAAGTATTTGAAGGACCGCCCCAGAGAAGAGTAGGGTCAACCTGTTTTCCAAAGCCCCAGAAGGCAGGACAAGAAACAGTGGATGGGAACTAAACAAGGAGAGAAGCAACCAGGAATTAAGGAGAAACTTCCCAACAGGGAGGACAAGTAACCAGTGGAACAAAAGTTGTTCTAGAAATTGTGGGTGCTCCATCAACTGAAGTTTTTAAGAAGAGACCGGACAGTCACTTGTCTGAAATGATAGAGGTTCTCTTGCTTCAGCAGCGGGCTGGACTAGAAGACCTCCAAGGTCCCTTCCAACAGGAGTTTGATCCAAGGTTGACTTAGCCTTCTGACCTTCCAAGATCAGTGAAATGAGAAGCCAGATTGTTGAGGGCAATAGGCTGACCGTAAACTGCTTATTAGAGAGGGCTGGAAAGCCCTGTGAAACAGGATATAAGTTTTAAGTGCTGAATGTTATTGCTATTTTGTTAGGCTCTGTTCCTTGTATCCTTTGAGTATGGCATTTTCTATGTGAAACTGATGAATTAGAGAACTTGTGAGTTTTCATCATTTACAGATAATTAGAGGGGCCAATTTGTGATGGCAAGTAACTTCCTTTTGAGGGAAAGGGTCTCTCTCACATCACTTCTGGAATCCTTGGTGTTGAATTTAGATGGTATGGCAGCTAGACTTTTTGAAGTTGCATTTAATGCAAGGAAATTATTCCATTCTATATGTACATCTGACTGTCTCTGCCTGGTTATCTCACTTTTGATGAGTTGCATTGCAAAATTCAGGGTGGGGGGTGGGGGGGGAATGCAAAACTGGATTGCTAGCTAATTGGAACAATTGATGGATGGCAACCTGTGGCACTTCAAATTCACCAAGTTTGCATTGCTGATGTGTATCCCCCTGCCCCTGGCAATTCTCCTCACCCCAGCAAATAACGTAGAATTATGTCAATAACAGGGGGAAGGAGAGACTTTGGCTTGTATCAGCTGATCCCCAAAGGCAGGACTGGATTTTCCTGCCCCTCTTCTGGCAGCCGGTGCAGATGGCAGCAGAATTGGACAGTGGGGAAGAAAGGGGACCAGTCCAGGAGTCTGGAGAGGACTCGGACGAGGGTTCTGCGTCCAGTGTAGAGATGGGGCCAGGGCCCTCTGGGAGTGGGGTGCTGACTCCAGAGCCTCCAGAGTCTGGCAGCAGCGAGGCAGAGGAACAAGGGGAGCCTGTTCCCAGGGCATGTGTGCGCAGAGCTGCCAGAAGGCAAGAGCAGCTAAGACAAAAGGGGTGACTTGGGAGTGAGGCTTGGAGAGGATTGCCCCTCCCCTAAGGTATAATAAAGGAAGTACAAAGACAGAGAAACCTTTGCAGGAAGCAAAGTCGTTCACTCTGTTCTGATTAAACCTTGAAGCTCTGTGTGGACTTCGTACTTCAGCTGGCTTTTTACTGTTAATTTGGCAGCCATTCAAAGGAGAGAAAGGTGGGTGCTTATCTCGAGGGACTGTTTGGGACTCAATACGGGCTGGGAATGCACATAATTCCCAGCGTTGAAATAAAACAAGAGCTGTTTGGACTAAGCGTGTGCTTAATTACGGTCTCAGGAAGCCTGGGTCAGAACGTCAGCAGACCGGCTTGCAAAGAGCAAAGCGACAGCAGGGGGAGCCTTATTGCCAACCTCTTTTTGCATTTAGAATGGATCGGGTGATCTGAAGACATTTCTGATTAGCCAGATTGGATGCAAAACATTGGCTGTGTGGAACATTTCTCATGCACTCGATTTATTCAGCCGAGGCAACTTCACAAACGAGAAAACCAAAAGAAAAGGAGGTATATTTCACAAAGTGTATTTGAGCAGCCTAATAAATCGAGAGGGGGTAATGGAGGAATTCACACCCAAGGAAACAACCTTCCCGCTTCCTTCCACTCGGCCTTCTCCCCCATGGATTTCAGAAAGGAAAGGAAAGGAAAGGAAAGGAAAAGGTCGCTTACTCTTGTAGCTTCCCGAGATCCCTGGCCATATGTCATTCCTAAAGAAAGAAAAGACAAAGGATGGTCACAAGTGGGATCTGCATAAAACGTTGCATTCACTTTCCTGGTGGATCTAGTGGGGGTGCTTCCCACCACAGGCAGTCCTCGACTTATAACAGTTCATTTTAGTGATCGTTCGAAGTTACAACGGCACTGAAAACCGAGACTTAGGACTGTTTTTCACACGACCATTGCAGCCCCCCCCCCCCGGGTCGTCCCGTGATCAAAATTCAGGGGCACGGCAACTGACTCACATTTATGACGGTTGCAGGGTCCCCCCCCCCGGGTCACATGATTCCCCTTTTGCAACTTTCTGGCAAGCACAGTCAATGGGGAAACCAAATTCACTTAACAACGGTGTTAAGTGAACGGTGCGGTTCACTTAACAAATGTGGCGGGAACGGTTGCAAAATGGGACAAAACTCACTTAACCAATGTCTCAGTTAGCAACAGAAATGTTGGGCTCAACTGTGGTCATGATTCAAAGACTTCCTCTTTTAGCTTGTTCCCCCCCTCCTACATTTTCTATTTCCACCCACTTCAATATTCCGACCTTAATCCTCCCTCTTCCCCCTGGGATTGGCTTCCAAACGGATGGGAGGATGTTCCAAGCCAAGAGGACAGCGGCAGGGAACAGAAAACAGATCCATAAGGATACCAATCTAGAACTTCTTAAGAGTTTAATTTTCTTGGGAATTACACTTTTAGGAAACAGGTAGCTTGCTTGGTATTGTTGGAAGAAATATCCTTCTGGGTTCAGTTCCAAGCGGGGAAAAAGACACTGGAAACATGGAGGCTGTTTGGAAAGATGGTTTAATGGTGGGCAGAACCACATGGCTTGGAGCTCCAAAGAAGGAAGGGGCTGAGGTGCCGAGAGTGCCTGGGTTTTATGCCCTCTGTTGGGATTTGAATTGGAGCTTGTATTCTGATTGGTTGTCAGACTCCCATGAGGCCATGCAAGGGCAACTCTGTAGGCTGTCCTGAGTTCCAGGCTTGGTTGCGCCTTGCTGGATGATGATGTAATGAAAGAGCTTTGGGCAATTCCTATTATGGCTCTACCTAGAGTAGATCTTTGTTATGTAAAATATTAATGGCCCACCCATTAACAAAGGTGGGGGTGAGTTTCTGCTTCTGAGTTTCTACTCTTTTTAGGGGAAATATTCTGCCTTTTTGGTATATTCTAAAATATTTCATTTCCCTAGGAGAGGGGTGGGTGCCAACTTCCAACAGTATAATTGGTTGCTTTAATAGGAGGCATCTGAGCTCCTTTCCTTCTTCGGAAACAGCTCCCGGCCTTCTGTCTCTCTCTCTCTCTCTTTTTCTATAGCAAATGCCAACCTGCACCTCACATATTCACAGGAAATTCATAATTGCAACGCCCTCTACACGGGGGGCTGCCCTTGAAGAGCACCTGGAATTTCAGTTGGTGCAAAATGCAGCATCCCGCATGGTTCTGGGCGGACCTCGTTGTGCACATGTGTCACCTCTCCTGCGGGACCTGCCTTGGTTGCCGATTTGCTTCCAGGTGCAATTCAAGGTGTGCTGGTAGTCCCCTTTAAAGCCCTTCATGGCTTGGGACCAGGTTATCTGAAGAACCATCTCTTGCCGGGCAAATCCACCCAACCCGCTAGAGCAGGGAGGCACAGAATGTTGCGGGTCCCACCCCCGAGGGAGATACACCTGGTGGGACCCAGAAGAAGGGCCTTCCCTGTGGGGGCTCCCTCTCTCTGGAACATCATCCCCCCTCCCCGGGAGATTAGAACGGCCCCCTCTTCCAGAAGGCACTGAAGACCTGGCTCTGCCAGGGGGCCTGGGGAGCCCAGAGCGGGCTGGAACCCATTAAATGGTTTGTGTGATGTGTTGTTGCTGGTGGGGACTGGAGAGGGTTATTACATTATTTGATTAATCTCTTTTATTAGTTTTATTTTTTTATATATGAGGTTTTTATATTCCTGAAATTATATTCAAGACTGGAGAAGGGACTGCAGAGAACATCTTCTGGATGTGCTACCCAATTATGTTCCCCATGTCAGCCAGGTGCTGCTTCATCCATTGGCCATATCCCCCACTATCCAGGTAATAAAAAATAAAATAAAAATACCAGGCCCTGTGACTCCAAAAAAACACAAACAAAAACAAACACACTGTTTTCAAGCAGCAATTCAGTTGAATCAATCGATCTCACATTTTTAATCGATTGAAGAGAAGGAACACGTGCAGATCTGCCCAAAGAAGCAAAATGAATCTGGATGCATCTGATACAATTTAATAGTTCAGCTTGAGGTCCCGATTCAAGTCAGGAAGGCGATGCAATTTGGGGATTTGATGAAATGACCTTAAAATTGAATTGGCTTTTGGGGGCGCTCTAAAAACAGGAATAGCTATATATATATATATATATTCACCATCTTTACTGATTGTGATCCCTCATTAAGGATTTGCAAGTAAACTTAATCGTTGCAATCATGGAAGCCTTGTCCTTTAGTTATAGATTTCTTCATTCTTCAAGAAACAGTAAACCAAGAGTAAGAATCAATGGGTGACTTTATTTTTTCCAGTAGAGGAAGTGAAAATGGTTTCCCTCAAAGATCTATGTTGGAATTAGAGCTTTTTTAAAAAAGTGTTTTAAATGTCTTGACTTGGGGATAAAGCACGGATTGGTCATACTTGCAGATAATACCAAATAGTTTATGGTGATGAAGCCCAAAGGTAATTCTACCAAACACTCTCTTTAAACTGGCTCAATGGATTATGTAAAGATAAAGGTTCCCCTCAAATATACGTGCTGGTCGTTTCCGGCACTGGAGCTCATTTCCGTTACAAAGCCGAAGAGCCAGCGCTGTCCGAAGACGTCTCCGTGGTCACGTGGCCGGCAGGACTAAATGCCTCCGAAGGCCCACGGAGCGCTGTTTCCTTCCCACCAAAGGGGTCCCTGTTTTTCTACTTGCACTTTTTTTACATGCTTTCGAACTGCTGGGTTGGTAGAAGCTGGGACGAGGAACGGGAGCTCACTCTGGAGGCTAAAACATATAAAGAACAGTTGCTGGAATTGGGCATGTCTAGTTTAATGAAAAGAAGGATTTGAGGTGACATGATACCAGTCTTCCAGTATCTCAGGGGCTGCCACAAAGAAGAGGGAGTCAAGCTATTCTCCAAAGCCCCTGAGGGCAGGACAAGAAGCAACGGATGGAAACTGATCAAGGAGAGAAGCAACCTGGAACTAAGGAGAAACTTCTTAACAGGGAGGACAATTTATCAGTGGAAGGGCTTTCCTCTAGAAGTTGTGAGTTTTCCATCACTGGAGGTTTTCAAGAAGAGATTGGACAACCGTTTGTCTGAAATGGTATAGGGTTTCCTGCCTGAACAAGGGGTTGGACTATAAGACCTTCAAGGCCCCTTCCAACTCTGATATTCTGTTCTGTTCTAGCTTCCATTAAGACCTTCTATCTGCTTCTCTAGATTTTTCTGGAGCATCTTGCCAGACCCTCCTGAGAGACAGGGCCTGCGGTAGATGCATAGGACTCTCTCGTACGCCAGAGAGCCCAACAGGGAATCAGGGTGGCAGATGGCCGAGCGCACTGCGGGATGCCTCAGCGAGGCTGGGATGCCCGATTTTTAGCACTAGGGGGAATGCAGCTCCCCCCCCCTCCTTAGTGAACGTGACTGACATTAAGCAGCTTCTTTTGTGCCTCTCCTTAGAGAAGATGCTGCCACTTGTCATTGTCAGAGTTGCCTGGGGAGGCATCATTTTAATTAATGAGAACCTGCAATCGTCGACTGCAGGTCAGTGTCTGTTACACGATAGCAGGAACCTCTCTTGGAAAGCAAAGCTCAGTCCTGTCAGATTAATTTCAACCAGTCCTATCAGGGCCAGGATGGGAGGCAGAGAATCTCCGCTTGGAGGTGTGGGATGTGGCCCCAGATTCGAGGGGGGTACAGACGGGCATGGGGTAAGGTGGGAGCCAAAAGGGATCCCGGTATAATACCGGTGGTGTGTTCCAGCTTTCTGAGCCAGAGGTGGTTATTCAGCCGGTTCAGACTGGTTCTCGGGAACCAATAGCGGACATTTTGAGTAGTTCAGAGAACCAACCAATCCCACCTTGGACTGGCCCCGCCAACCCCACCTCTTCTCTGCCTCCCATTGAGTCCCAGCTGATTGGCTGGGTCTTCTTTGGTTGCCCTGCACGGGAGAGCAGAGCTGGAAAGCAGGCCAGTGAGGTGGGGAGGGAATGGGGATTTTACAGTAGTCTTTCCCTACCATGCCCACCAAGCAACACCACGCCCACCAAGCCATGCTCTCAGAACCAACAGTAAAAATTTTTGAATCCCACCACTGCTCTGAGCTCAAACCCTGGACAGTGGAACCATGGAGGTCTGGGCCTTTGGCTGCTTGCTAACGCATGCCTGGTCAGTCCAAAACAAGCCCCTCACCGCCTTATTTGTGATCTCACTGACCTGGCGTGCATCACCAAGACCTGGGTGAGGCCGGATGGGGGAGTTTCCCTCTTGGAAATGATTCCAGCCAGTCTGTCAGTAGAAAACTCCCTGGCTGACCAAGGATTGGTCCCAATCCCAAGGTCACCAAAGCGACAGTGGAACAGGTAGGATCCCACTGCTGACTAGCGAGATACAAAGAACTCATCCCTGTCCTGTCCATCTCTTAGTTGTTGTTTTAGAATAGTTTTGGTAATCTTAATCCGTGCGGTTTTAATGCATTAACATTTAAATTATTTTCCTATCTGTTTTATAGCTTGCAAGCTGTCCAGAGTCACTTTATATGGGCTGGCATAAAAATTTAACAAGCAAAAAAACAATACACCTGGGAGGCAAACAATAAAATCAATTATTATTGCTGTTATCATCCTATCATTCAATTAAATTTGTGATCCAAGTGCCCTAGTGGACCACAATTTCAGTATGAGCTGCCAAAAAAGCCAATCCAGCCCTAGGCTGCAGCAACAGAGGGACAGCATCGAGACCAAGGGGAACGACAATAC